AAAAAAAAATGTCCTTTCTCCCCCTCAATTGTTATTTTTTTTTTTTCTGTTTTCATCCGGTCTTGTCACTTTTATTTATTTTCTTTCCTCCCTCCTAAATTTATATAGTTTTTTTTGGATCACATATTCAATCCATATCTGGCGAATTATCACCTACTGGGCGTTAATTTTAGGCTGAAAGAAAATTAATTTAATACGTTAAAAAAAAAAAAAATGATAATTCGCTAAATGCTGTTAATAATTTTTAAATTCCACGAATGAGAGATTTTATCTCCCAAGTTTTCACTGTTGCAGTGGAAATTTATTTTGCAAATTTATTAAATTTCTTAGAACATAATATTTCAAAATTTTCGATGATGTAATAGAAATTAAAATTGTTAAATAAAAAAGGAAACTGGATCTCTCCAAATTTCAACTGATGTAAAGAAAATAGAAAATTTTAAATTTTTTTTTAAATATCTGATTTAAATTTTGTAAGAAATTTCTTACTTGATATTTCATGTTTTTATTGATACAATAAAAAATTTATATCGATAAATATAAAATACCTTTTTAAAAAAATATATAAAAACTTAAAAATGTGATAGTTTCTTTGATGCAATGAAAATTTAAATTGTAAAATGAAAAAAAAAAAAAAAAAGACAACTTCTTATTTAAACTCTGTTTTCTTAAAAAAGAAGTTTCTTATTTAAACTCTGTAAAAAATTTACTTACTGATGTAGTCGATTACAATATCTTATGTTACTTTTTTTTATATTCTATGTCAATATCTTTTATGTACTATGTTTTTCACTGATGTTAAATTAAAAATATTAAATATCTAATTTAAATTCCTGAAATATTTAATATTTTGTCTAAAATATTTCAGTTTTCATCGATGCATTAGAAATTTAAATTGTAAAAGGCAAACAAATAAAAATCCTTATTTAAATTCTGGAAAAATGTTCTTATTTGATATACCAAACTCTTATCTTATTAGTTTTCTTATTTGATATTTCTAAAGTGAAAAAATAATAATAATAATTTTCTTATTTGAATTCTGTAAAAATTTTCGATACTTTTCAATTTCGCCGGCGCAAGCAAGTTGCCAATGAAAAGTCACCGGATGCATGAAAATTCATTTTTTATTTTCCTGCGATGTTTATTTATGAAAAAAAATAATTAGATAAAAAATTATTAAAAAGTAAATAAGTAAAAAATAAAATTACTGCTCCTTCGAAATAGAAAAGTACTAAAATTTCTTATTTGATGTTTAATTTTTTTTTATTTGATGTTTTTATACTTATTTGTTATTAAGTTTTCAGTGTCGTAAGAATTTAAATTGTATATTAAGAATTATTAAATATCTTACTTAAATTCTGTAAATACTTTCAATCTCGTTTAATCTTTCCTGATTTTTCAATTATGATATTATAGTAAAATCGTAAAATAAAAATAAATTAAATCTACATTTTTACTGTTTAAGTTCTTATTGGTACAATATTTGAAATCTATATTGAAAAATTAAAAAAAAATCTTATTTAAATGCTCTCAAAGTTTTCTTAATTAATATTTTTTTTTTTTTTTNTTTTTTAGTTTTTTTTTTTTTTTTTTTTTAAATCTTCCTGATTTTTCAATTATGTTTGAAGTTAAAATCGTAAAATAAAAATTAATTAAATTCCCGTTTTTTCTGTTCAAGTTCTTTATATAGGATTTAAAATCGAATACATGTTTTATAATAAATGCTCTATTAGAATAAATTAAAAAAATCTTATTTAAATTTTGTCAAAATTTTAGTATTTAAATCTCTTTTTTTAAAAAAAAATAATAATAGTAATCTTACTTCCTGATTTTAAAATTATGATATATAAATTAAAATCGTAAAATAAATACACGTTTTTGCTATTTGAGTTCTTATTGATAAAAAAAATTGAAATCTCTACATACTATTTTAGAATAAATTTAAAAAAAAAAAACAAATCCTGCCAACATTTTCGTATTTAATATCTCTTTTTAAAATGATTTTGATGCCAACAAACAACATATTTATCACTGATATTAGTACAAAGCCAACGAACTTTCTCTTCTAGGCTACTTTGGTTATGTTTTTTTATTCTTACACACTGTTCTTCGGCAACCCTGTCCCCCACACTGCTTTAGGTGAAAGTTCCTTGATCTTACTGCCAGATCACCCACAAAAATCTGCAAAATATCAACAGGTTCTTTTTAGATCAATTTGAATTGGAGTGGAAAATGTCCGTTTTTCCTGCCATGACATTGATTCCTTTTCAATGTGCCGTGTAACGGGTGATGGCGTTATATGTGTGTGCTGCTGCAGATGTTGCAATGCAAAAAGGGTCGGCGATCTCTCTCTGTTCCTGTTTTCTTATGTTTGTAACAAACAGAATGCGTGGGGCTTTGAACTTTCTTTTAAAATAAACACGATATCACCGTTTTTTTATTTTCTTTGGGGGACAAAAAACTGAAATTGAAAGTTTAAAAAAAATGCGATGTCCAACTTTAAAATGTGTTTCCGAGCTCTGAGTCAGTCATTAGCTTTAAAATGTGTTTCCGAGCTCTGAGTCAGTCATTAGCTTTAAAATGTGTTTCCGAGCTCTGAGTCAGTCATTAGAAAGTTTTTGCTTAAAACGCCTTAAAATTAATGCCAGAATTTTTTATACGCCATGACGCAAAAAAGCTCTTGTTGAAAATAGTAGTTATGTTTTTTAAATAGCTAGGTTTTTCGAAGCTTTTTCCCAAAAGAAAATAATAAAAAGAAGCCTTAGTTTAAGTGCTTTACTTATGACGCAAAGCCTTAATGCCATCTGTATAGTACTGTACTGTATATGTCATTTTGCTGTAAACTTTTTTTAAAAAATCACCAATTTGTCAACGTTTTACCCCCTAGATCAGTGTTTCCCAAAGTGTGGTACGCGTACCCCCAGGGGTATGGGAACAGTTTAGCTGGGGTACGCGTTCTTATGCAAAGTATTTTGCAACAAACGAAAATTTCCAAAAATTTTATTTGAAAATAAAGCTAGCCATGAAAATTTAGGATTACGGATTTTTATACTGGCTATTTTTTGCAGAGTTAACAGTTAATAATTAGTGGTGTCAGCAGCCAGTGGTGATATTTAACTTTTGTGCAATTTTTTTATAGTAAAAAATACATTAATTCTTTTATTAGTGGTACACAGCGTTACGACAAATTTAGAAAGGGTACTCAAAAGTCATAAGTTTGGGAAACACTGCCCTAGATGAAAATTATCAAAATCAATGACTTATTCCCATTTTTTTTATTCTTTATTTTTTTATAAGCCCAGATAATGCAACATTGGAGTAAGTGTCTAAATATTAAAAAAATTAGACCATAAGCGTTTTTCAGTTTCTCAAAACTGTGGATTTTCTTTATATTAACGTTTTGCGTCATTTTTAGAATAAACATAGAGGGAATAAGCTAAACTTGACCTAGCGGTCATGAGTAGCTCACGTGGGTCAAACTCACGTGTGTTATGAAAATAGCTCATTATTCGCAAAAAAGGCAACAACAAAAAAAGCATGATTTTATGCGATTACAGAGCTTTCGAAAATAGCCTTGAATGATAATTTCTTCTGTTAGCAACTACCTAATTTTTTGCCAAAAATAAAAAAAAAAATTGTTTGGGAAAACAATCATGTTTTAAATTAGAGGAATACTCCTAATTCGCGTGACGTATATGTCATGCTAGGTAAACATGGCTCTTTTAAAAAAATTTCAAAAAAAGGCTTTCAGGAGCGTTTTTGATGAAAAATACAGCTATTTTCATGCACATAGAAAATATCGTCTCGATTTTCATTGATATTCACCAGGAAATGTCAGGGGATTTATTTTTCGACAATTGAGTGGGAAAGCTGTTCATCGAGTTTAATTATTTTGTTCAAATTCTAATAAGGCGGGATTATTTTTTTAGAAGAAAAAACAATATTTTTTGTGGGATACATTCAAAAAGTCTGATTTGTTTCATGAGACAATTATTTAACCTCCCCGACTTGAATTGTCTAAGGTTTACTGAGGAAGAACTTCTTTCCGGAAACTCTGGTTGATTCGGGAAGGAAGTTTCTGAATCTTAAATAAAGTAAGACAATAAATTCTTGGAAAAAGTTCATATTTATTTATAAGATTTCAAGGTTACCGATTTGCTGTTGAAGTATATTTTAATCTTTATTTTTCGTTAAGCGGTGCATTTGTTTCGTTGAAATTAATTTATAAAATCATTATTTATGAAATTTACTAAGTTCATCGATATTTCATTCTATTTCAAACCTATGATTGTTACACATATGTTGCGTTTGATTAGGTGTTATTATGAACGCCTTAAAAGTAGAAATGCAAGTAAAAAACGAAAGTGATAAATTGAAAAATTTACTTGAAGTTATTTAGTTTACGTTAAGGAAACAATGAACAATTAACAAAGCTAAATTATCCTTAGAAAGTATGCCGGACGGATTGAAGCTTTTAATTCAAAAATGTTCTAAACGCGTGCGGAACATAGAATGTTTTGTATCATTGCTACTCAATCAGCCGTGTTTTTTTAACGGACGTTCAGTCCTTCGTCCTAATAGTGAAATAAATTGAAACCTTGTCTATGGTGATAGGTAAATATCTATCCGAAGAAAAATTAATACTATGGTTCAATTAAGAGATATTCTAGAAAAACATTGCATGTGACATTTTACTTTAGTGAAATATCTCGTAATATTGAAATGCTAGCATCCCTATGCTAAGTTGATATTCCAAAAGAATCAAAATTTCCCAATTTCAGTGAAAAAGGTTTCCTAGAAGAATTGCAATATGTAACATACTGAGATTCATTATTAGTATACCTTAATACAGTGTTCTTCTTAAGCCTATTTAGAAGGGTGACCCTCCCTGTTATTTTATTCCCTATGAGTGCGCCCTCTTTTTGTAAAAATATGCAGCTGTAGTGCGACATAAATAAACAACTACTACTACTACTTGTCTAACATAAACAACAAACTAATGTATTGCTTTTCATTTCTAGAGTACCATTCACAACGCCCTGGATAGATACGCTCCAAACAATGACTGGGGCTTCTTTTCGGCCCACAAACCCCGTCGTGAGAGTGCCTCCAGAGTTGACGAATTCTTCGAAAGCAGCGATGGCATCAGTACAGCTCTCAGTTTAGAGAACATTGACGCCTTGCTGGAGCTGATGACGCAGAAACCTGAACAGATCTTGCACAACAAAGTTATGAAATCCACGACATCGCGGTCATTTACAAACTCAGTGCCTTCACAAGCTAAAGGGATGAGCACAAACGCACATTCGATGAACTTCTTGGACTACTCTGGCGAATCTCCCAATTTGCCTGGACTGTTTGACAGTGTGACGCCACCTTATCAGAGTCCAGCACCCGCCTGTAATATCAAAAGTGAAGTTATAACAGACTCAATCCCTTATGCTTCACCAGAATTCTCATCGTTGTTAGACGTTAGCCAACCAGATCAAGTGATTGTGAAAAGAGAACCTTGTACATTAGAAAATAAGCAATCTCAGCAATATTCCACTGTAATGTCCGCTCAACAGACTTATCTGGAACATTTTTCATTGTCTAAATTGATGATACCACCTTTAACGCCACCCGGTTCTGAACCGGGTAGCAATGATTCCATAGACTCACTATCCATGGGAGCGACTCCTCCGCCTTATTCGAGTCCTTCTCTTTCCGCTAGGTTAGAGATCAGAGATGACCTACCATATCTAAAACCCGCCTACAATCGTCGTAACAATCCTGAATTAGAAAAGAGGCGCACTCACCATTGTTCTTTCGCAGGTAATATGCCATCATCAAAAGTATTTACAATAAATGTATATCTATATATACACAGTGTTTGGACAAAAAAATAGAAAACACTTCTTTTGGCAAATAATATTTTGGAAGATTTTATGTGGTAAAGCTGTTGTTACAATTTGAATTATTATACTTGAAGCTTTAAGAAATGGTGTTGATTTATTTTTTGTATCGAACAAAATGAACATAGGAGGATAATTCCTCCCCCCCCCCTATTTAATGCCCCTATAATTTGAAAGGCGTGTTTCAATAAATACTGTAATCGTTTAAAATTATTTCACAATTACTGGTATTAAAGCTAAAAGGAATTTTCTGTCGTCATTTTAGTCAATTCGAGCTATGCATGAGTAAAAATATGGCACCATTTCTTAAAGCTTCAAGCATGATCTTGTACTAACAGTTTTGCCATTTTCGACATTTTTTGCCAACGGTACCCATGCGAAATTCAAATCGTTTAAAATGATGACAGGAAGTTAATAACTTCTTTCTAGCTTCATTACAAGCTAATTTGAAATCATTCTATGAGATTGAAATATTTATATAAGAATGCTTTTTCAAATTATAGGAATATAAAAAAAGAACGAAATAATTTTTTTTTTTTTTTTCCTACGCTCTATTTTGGTCAATGCAAATTGCGCATGTGTAAAAAGGGACACCTTTTGTAAAAGCGCAAATACGATATTTCAAATTGTGCCAACAGTTTTGCCCGTTAAACTTTCCGAAAAATTTGCTTGCATTAAAAACGATTGCTTACGCCAAGTTAATATACAAATGTTTCTGTATTATTGTCCGACCCCTGTATGCAACCTATTAAAATAAAATTGTTTTATTTGTTATTAGCCATTTTATATATATATTCAGATTGTTGTACTGTCATGGGATGGACGAACTTCAAAAATTGATGCAGCCTGCAAAATTTTTTTTTTGTTTTTGTAATGTATGATTTGAATTAGGGCGTGAAATAATTAACATTGTTTATTTACAGCGTTGTTAATGCATGTTAGCAGAAATCTTTATAAAGCAACAATCGGTATCATCTAAGAAGTGGTTGACGAACTCTTCCGAAGATGTTAAACATTAGTGATTGTATTACAAATGCGATAAAAAATGATACATTGTAATTTTTCACATAATGTAGGATATTTTTGTAGTTTTATTTCTTATTTCACTAAAAACACAAAATTTACTCGACTCAAATAATAAGATATTGTTAAAAAACTCCGATCTACAAAATTAGCTTAAATTGTATTTTTATCTAGACAATTGTTTAGTTAAAGCATGCGAATATAAAGGGGAATAAAATCTTCTAATATTATTTTTTAAGTTATGAAATTGTGCCAAATGTTGTACAATATTATTGTAAGCTCGGAATAGGAGGATAAATTGTCAAAAAACGAGACCCTTAACTGAGCAACTGATCGCCATCAGCTGTCCTCACAAGGAGTAAATTGGTACTCAAATCTAGTGATCAAGGTGGCCATCGAACTGGCGCAGTTGGCCTAAATTGGCATCCAGTTATGTGCAATTGTAGTTTAACTAAGTGATTTTCTTTCTTATGCCTAAGTTTCTGAGTTTGTGCTTCCAGACAATACATAAATTAAAATTTAAAATTTTTTGTATACTATATACAAAAAAATGTGTGTTTTAGCTGTACGAGCTCTCAATGTTTGTCCACTATATTTAGACACTCTGCATATGGTATTCTTTAAACGCCATCTTTTCCTTCTGTTTTAAACATCTTTGTAAAGAAGATTAAATGATAATTACCTAACATAGTGATGCTTAAAAATAAATATTTAATAATAATAATTAAAAAGTCCTGAATTAGATAATGAAACCACAAACCTCGCCGTGAAATTTTAAAATTATAAGTGGCGATCATCAATTTTTTATTACCAGCGGGAGACCGAGCTCCGCTCGGAAAAAACAGGTATCGAAGTTAACTCGAAGATTTAAATTTTCAATTGTGATTTATCAAAACATGTCTCATAGCATAAATAATTTCACAGCATACAGGGTGCCTACATTCTTACATACCATCTTTTNTAATTTTCTTTAATTAACTTTAAGTTATTATGTAATTATATTTTTTTACTCTGTTTACAGGCAATATTCAATCATAGCTGAAATCATAAAAATAAAAAAACTCTTAATATTTTAAGAAACACAATATTAAATGCTAGTTTTAATGCGTAATGTATTTTATTTTATTGTTGGAGATCCTATCGTATACTTGTAACATTGAATACAACTCAGAAGGCGAGTCGGTCATTTTCTTTTCGAATTTTGCAAATGTAATGCATGTGAGTAGCCGCCATTATATTTAAAATTCAAGTATTATAAACAAGCCTAGTATACACCAGAATGTAGAAAATTAAAAAAGAAAATTCTGATTAATTAAAAATTATTTATTTTTTAGGTTGTACGAAGGTTTACACGAAAAGCTCACATCTTAAAGCTCATCAAAGAATACATACGGGTAAGAATATTTACTAAACAAATTTATTAACTTTTTCTTTTTTTTTTGATTTAGGTACACTTCATAATATTTTATAACGTTTTCTATTGCATGATAGTTTTGGACTGATGTTAGATATTTTTGCGTCACTTATTTCTCTATGTCTGCAATCACTTTTTCTGTAAGCTGTAGTTTTAAGCAATTTAATGATATATTCCTCACCAAGATTTTACAAAATTCACTCGAGTAAATACCAAGTGTCCCCACTTCTCTGCTACGTATGGAGTGGTAGGAAGAAGGCGATAATACATTTCAGTTGATGATGCTATACGTTTAAGGTCATATGTTTTTTGTCTTGGTTTTATTTTCAATCGAGCAGACAAGTTTATATCTATGAATGAACCTTGGTGGCTCAGGAGATAGATCGTTCACTTTCCAATGAGGTGAACTGGATTCGAACTCCAGCGATGGTTGGTCGATACGAATTCCGAACCTGGATCGCACTGACCTCAGTGCTGATCTTCAGTGGTAGACGGATCATGGGTTAGAGTCCTCTTGCTGTCAGGTTAACCGTGCGAGGTTTTCGGAGTTTTCTTCTCCATGTAACGCAAATGCGGGTTAGTTCCATCAAAAAGTCCTCCACAATGGCAAATTTCTCCCAATACTTGATCCAGGAGCTCTCTTGTCTTCTGGATCGGGTTCTATATTACAAGGCTACGGAATTAAACGGTGGTTGTAAACCCAAAAATTGGTTTGAGCTGTTCAATGATTGTTATAAAATACAATATATCTCTGAATATTAGTCTATACGTTCTTTATACGCTTCCTTATTCAAACAAAGAATAAGTAAACTAAACGGTAAATACTGTTTGGAAAAAAAATCTGTAGCTTTTCGAATAAAGCTAATTTCAGATTTGAAATACCCACACACGAATAACGTAAGATCAAGTACTCGCTGTAATTGCAACAAAAAATTTGTTCCCAAGTGTAATTTGTAAAGATAAATTGTTTGTTATAATTAACATTTATTGTCTCTTGATATATAATATCGTTTGCAAGCTTTCGCTTAAAGCATTTTTTCCCCATCAACATGAGTTATAGTTTTCGATATAACAGCACGATATTTTTTTTCATTTTCTTGATTTAGTGCAGATACTATCCATTTTTTCGATCAAAGTTACTACATAAGATTAAAAACTACTTTAACAATTTTAAAGATTTATTTTCAAATTTAAACCAATAAATTACGCACCGTCTTGAAAATTCATAACAGGCATTCCAAATGTTGCTATGCTAGTACATTTTACAGTAAAAACGCATGTCATATCAACAAATTCAGCTTGTAATTGTGACAGAGGATACCGTTGATAACAATAGTATATTTTCTTACTTTTCAAATCTAAATTTTTTAATCTCTTTGATGAGTTTCGTATAATCTCAATTTTCATTCCAAATTTTGAAAATAAATCTGAAGTTTTTAGAGTTTTTTTTTCTGGCTTTGGTCTCAAAATCCTATGAAAAATTTGAATGTGGTAACCAATTTGCTTTAACAAATAAAAGGTTAAGTTTAATTTAAATCTTTCCAAGAATAATTGATTTTTTTTAGATTTCACTTTGATTTAGAACTAAATATAATTACTTAAATTGTTAGCATTTTAAAATATTTCGTTTCATCTGAAATGTTCTGCGAAAAATATCGTAACTTTCCTACCATCATTTTAATTTTTATAATAACGCTACGATTACTGTTTCTGGTGCAATGCTTGTAGGTCATATTTATTGTACATAAGATAATGATACCTGTTTCATCCTGAATTTGGTGGCTCATGTTTTTCCCGTAACCGTGACATTTATAATTTATGTCCTATCGATCACATATCCTAAACAAGTCACAGACAGGTGGGTAATCTGATTCGAATCTTGACTAAAATATCTAAACCGGCTTAGCGCGATGTCCAGCTGTTCTTTTATGGTCACCGAAAATTCAAAGCATGATGACCATTGCCCCCCTTCTTTCTATTTAATTTATCTAGAGTCCCTACAACGTGGCTATTGGTCTCTATACAATTGCTCAGCAGGTATTTCCTGACCCATATTTCTTCGAAGATTCTATTCAGTTGAATTTCAAGGGTAATAAAAATCCTTTCAAGGTCGCTGGTTTAATCTTGGATTCTTTTATTTATTTTTATTTCGATGACCTTTTGTTATTCTCTGCATTATTAAAGAAGAAACACAGCAGGATATAAAACTTAAAACACTGATAGAAGAATTTCGATTTTCACCAGGGCACAAAACGTAAAAATAATTATAGATTTAGTAGGTTATTTTGTATTCTGTGATGTATTTGGAAAAGAATTTCGATTTACACCAGGGCACAAAACATAAAAATAATTATAGATTTAGTAGTTTATTTCGTATTATATGGTGTATTTGGAATTTGGAAAAGAATTTCGATTTACGCCAGGGCACAAAACGTAAAAATAATTATAGATTTAGTAGTTTATTTCGTATTATATGGTGTATTTGGAATTTGGAAAAGAATTTCGATTTACGCCAAGGCATAAAACGTAAAAATAATTATAGATTTAGTAGTTTATTTCGTATTACATGGTGTATTTGGAATTTGGAAAAGAATTTCGATTTACACCAGGGCACAAAACGTAAAAATAATTATAGATTTAGTAATTTATTTTGTATTCTGTGATGTATTTGGAAAAGAATTTCGATTTACACCAGGGCACGAAACGTAAAAATGATTATAGATTTAGTAGTTTATTTCGTATTATATGGTCTATTTTGAATTTGGAAAAGAATTTCGATTTACACCAGGGCACAAAACGTAAAAATAATTATAGATTTAGTAGTTTATTTTGTCGTGTATTTTTGAATCGGGCATTCGTGGAGGATACAAAAAAGTGTATTATTACCAATTGTAGTTTCGTCTATANTTATATTTATTTACATTCTGATTCTGATTTTGTACGAATGCTTTTATAAATCAGCCGTCCCCAAGGGGTTAAAGAAGAAACATAGCAGGATATAAAACTTAAAACACAGATAGAAGAAGTTCGATTTACGCAAGGCACAAAACGTGAAAATAATTATAGATTTAGTAGTTTTTTGTATTTTGTGGTGATTTTTGTATTGGGCATTCGTGGAGGATACAAAAAAGTGTAATATTACCTATTGTAGTTTCGTCTATAGATCCATTCCTGTGTATTTAGAATTTTGTATTAAGAAAGAACTAAACAAAGTAAAATAAATTACAGATTCAATTAGTTAAGATTTAAATTTAGGTGAGGACAGAAACGGTAAAAGTGATTAAATTACAGATTCAATTAGTTAAGATTAAAGATTTAGATTTAGTTGAGAACAGAAACGGCAAAAGTGATTAGAGATTCAGTAGTTTATTTAGTTTTAGTAAAGAAATTCAAAGAAGTTAAATTGATAATAGATTCGTTGGTGTTAAATACAAACGTTTTCGCAAAGTTGTTTTTAATTCGTAATTGTCTTACACGATGTCATCATCGTCTTCAAGAAGAAAAAAAGATTAATCGATTTAATACGTAGGAAAATATTATCAGGTGGCACAGTAATTCGTTTATATAATGACGGAAGCGATCTTCTACACGAAAAAAGATTAATCGATTTAATAAGTAAGAAAATATTATCAGGTGGCATAGTAATTCGTCTATACAACGACGGAAGCGAAAGTGGTAATTCTTTTGGCGACATTATGATTTTCATTATTGATTCAGTAGTTTATTTAGAATTCGGCATTAGTGGATGACACTAAAAAGGTTACATTTATTAGATTCATTGGTGTAAAATGCAAAGGTTTTCTTAACGTTATTATAATTCGTAATCGTTTCGCACGAAATTTTATATTGGACATGCCAAAATATAATTTTAAATGCCAAAATATTATTAATCGAAATTAATTTAAATTTTATTTTATCATCCTAACAAACAAAAAAACATTCTTGATAGATTTTATAAGCAGAAAAATATCAGGTGGCATAGTGATTTTTCTACGCAACGAAAAAAAAGTGGCAGTTCCTTTGCTGACAATGTGATTATCTATTATAGATTCAGTAGTTAACCTGGAATTTGGCTAAAGTGAAGTGCACCAAAATAGTTAAAATAATTAAGATTCATTGGTGTAAAATGCTAAGGTTTTCGTAACGTTGTTATGATTCGTAATCGACTCGCATGCAACTTTATACTGGACATGCCTGAATTTAACCTAGAATTTCAACAAAAAGAAAGAAAAATAAACCTAATAGATTTAATAAGCAGAAAAATATCATGAGATGTGATTTGTCTAAATAACGACGGAAGCGAAAGTGGCAATTCCTTTGCTGACAATGTGTCTAAACGAGAGCGATTCTCATCTTAAAAAAATGTCTCCTCTTTGTCCAAATCTAGGGGGTGACTTCTTTAGATGCATCTTCTCTCCTTGGAACAGGTATCTTCGACATATCATGAAAAGAGAACGATTGAGAAAGGTGGCACAATATGGAACGGGAGGCGCAGGCCTGTAGGAACCCTTTTAAGAAAAGTGGCCATTAAAACACAATGTGTCTGTGTGCCTTCCCTCTTTTTGTCAAATGTGAATGGAATAAAAAAGGGGCGTTCGTCTTGTCGCTAAGGGGGCGCATTCTTTACCTCCTGAGAAAAATCAAGGCCAGTCTTACATCATCAAGGGGTCGTTCATCATGGGGCACAATACCATCTTTTGGTGTCAGTCCTTCCTATTCATTTTAGAATTTTCCCCCGTCTCGGAAGTGAAGTCAAATCAATTCTGCACCATTAATAGGGTTCCTAATGGAGTGGTAAATGCAGAAGTCACCTGATTTGTTGGAGAAGTCACCTGATTGCAAAAGCTGCTTATGTCTTGTCCTTGTGAATCTCGATTTACTCTGGAGAAGACATAATTTTTATTATCTTCAAGAATTAAATTGAATATTTGTTAATAAATCTGAAATTCCAGTTAATAAAATTCATAATACGTATGAGTA